TGGAAAATATGGCTGCACCTGAGAGGGACTCCAGGATTTCAGTGATGTTCGGCAACGGATAGGCATCTCTCTCTGTGATGGCATTAACTTTTCGGTAATCTACACATAATCTCAAGCTTCCATCTTTTTTAGGGACTAACACAATAGGTGAGGCCCAGGCAGAATGTGAAGGTTCCACAATGCCCTTTTCCAACATTTCCTTTAACTGTTCCTTCACAACAGCCTGTTTTTCCGGTGTCACGCGATAGGCACATTGTTTAATGGGTACAGGATGAGTGGTGTAGAGACAGTGCTGAAGAACAGTAGTCCTTCCAAGCTGGTGAGTACAAACCTTGGGATTTGATGTGAGAAGGTGCAATAACTGCTGTTTTCTTTCTGATGATAGGTGGGCACTTGATACTGCTGCAGCTATCAATGTTTGGTAATCCATTATATCTGACGATGCTAATGGAAATTGTGGTGGAGGAATAGAACTGAACAACAAAAGGGTCTGGTTTGAATTTTTCTTGCGTTGTCTCCTGTTCAGCTGTGAGGGTCTTACAACTGGAACACTAGCTTGGCCCGGTTGAAAAGGATACTCCTTGTGGGGAGCTACCTTAAATTAATACTTCCTGTCTGCTACATTTATTTGCAGGCCAGTGGAAAAGATGAAGTCCAAGCCTAAGACTACAGAGTAAGACAGGGCTTTGGAGGTGAGAATGACAGCTCGTACAGTGAAAACTTGGTCATGAAGTATGAGCTGTGTACTTGTCCATCCTAAAGGTACTTCGGCCTCACCATTGGCCAGATAAAGAGGAGCAAGGGACCAGGGATGGAGGTGGTCATGGGGACTGAGTTCCTTCCACAAGCTCTCGTGAAGGAGGGTATAACTTGCTCCTGTATCGACAATGGCCTTTCCTTTCCAGGCTCCAATATTAATGGGAACAACTAACTGTTGAGGTACGGAAACAAATTTGTTAGAGGCAGGGAATGTTTCAGACTTGGGGGTTGGCTCTGAAGGAATTGTGACAGACATGGCATTATTAGAAGGCGAAACTCCTAACTTCTGAGGGTGGAAGGAATGTTTACTTCCCATAGAAGGATGCTGACTGGACGACTGTTGAGTAGACGGAAGAGTGGAATAGAGGGGACAGTTTCCAGGTGGATGGTGTCCTTTGCATCTCCAGCACTGGACTGGAGGTTTTCCAGCAGGTCGATTTGAGGCGAGTCTTTGCGGTGGTGGGGGTTGAGTTGTTATACGTCCTTCGTAGTGTAACTGTTGTGCATGGTCTTTTTCCAACTGAAAGCCTAGTTTCACTACCTCATCCACAGTGTTTACACGGCTGCGAAGTTGGCTGGCGAGGTAAGGTTTGATGTTCTTGAGGATCATTTTTACTAACTCGCTCTCAGTTAGAGCGGGTTTCCAACGTTTACATAAAGCTCTGTAAGTGAAGGCAAAGCCTCTGATTGATTATTTTTCTCCCTGTGTTTTAGTCCTAACTCGCTCTGCCAGCTCATCTTCATAATCTTCCGAAAGGAAGGCAGAGAGGAAAGCGGATTCAAACTCACTCCAGGTACTAATGGAAGATCGAGCAACTTCCCACCAATCACGTGCCGTACCATACAGGACAGTGCGGAAGGTGGCCAAAACATCAATTTCATCCAAGGGGTACAAGGCCAAAAAGTCCTGACAGCGTGTTAAATATAAGAATGGGTCAGAGTCATCTGAGGGTCTTCCGAAAGTTGGAAAAGTTAACTTCAAATGATCACTTTTGATAGCAGGTGTATGGTGTGATAAGGGTGCAGCCTCTGAAGGTGGAGATGAAGATGGTACGGTGTGGGGAGATGGTAATGGGGCACTTCTTGGTTGGTCTGACACTACTTTTTCGGGTGGTTTGAAATAATTACTCATTTCCAGTTGTAGATCTTTGAAATCATGGCTTAGGGCATACAGTTGAGTGCTACAATGACTAATCTCTTTGGAAAGCTATTCACAGTCCTTCCGAGAGTTTTCCTGTGTGGCCTGAATGTCCTTCTGCAATTCCAGCTGAACTTGTTCCACCATGAAGCGAACTTCAGAAATTACGGTACTTTCATTTTTCTGGAGTTCTCCTGTCACCATCACCTTCATAGCTTTAATCAATTGATCTGTGCTTCCTTCCTCATACTGTTTATGAACAGTTATCGTGGTCAACAGTTGCTGATGGTTAGATTCTATTTTTGCAGTCAGGGTTACAAGTTGAGTGTCATGCAAAGAGAGGGTTTTTGTGACTTCTTGGGTAAGATCTTTCACAGCTTTATCCTGCTGTTTCAAGCAATCAAACAAATAATCCCAGTTCCTTTGTACATAAGTAGTGAGCTGATGAATTTCCTTTCCAGGAGTAGGAAGGTGGCCTGCCAGGCGATGCTGTGACACTGAGGAAGGTGGTGAAGTTTCAATGGAGGTGCAGAGTTGCATAGAATCCGGCTGGAATGAAGCGGTGCCACCTGGTGGGGCGGAGGCAAAGTGCACCTGAGACCTAGGATGGGGACTGCTGAACTGAGTGGGCGTGAAGTGGAAGGTGGAAACATGAAGTGGAGGGACTGGTCTTGGTTGCACAGGTGGCCAAACTGGAGTTGCTATGTCTGGGGGTTCAGGTGGCCAAACTGGAGTTGCTATGTCTGGGGGTTCAGGTGGCCAGGCTGGAGTTGCTATGTCTGGGGGTTCAATTTCC